CTTTAATGACCTGAGAAAGACATTTTAATGCACAAGTGGGGCTTTTTGCTAGTTAATTGGCTTCAGAACCATGTTTTAGTTAGCCAATGTTTTACCACTTGGTAACATAAATAGCCACTTAGAATTCAAGTTTTCTAAGTTTCCAATTTCATATTTTCCAAAAATCAACACTTAATCTTCTTTTGAAGACACTTCCTCCAAATGTATGAAATAGTCAAAAACCACAGCATTATCTCAATAAATGAAGAAAAGGCCTTTGGCAAAATTCAACACCCCTTCATGCTAAAAACAATCAATAAGCCAGGTACTGATGGAACATATCTCAAAATAAATAAGAGCTATTTATGACAAACCCACAGCCAATATCATAATGAATAGGCAAAAACTGGAAGCATTCCCTTTGAAAACTGGCACAAGACAAAGATGCCCTCTCTAACCACTCCTATTCAACATAGTATTGGAAGTTGCTGTCAGGCAAGAAAAAGAAAGGGTATTCAATTAGGAAAAGAGGAAGTCAAATTACCTCTGTTTGCAGATGACATGATTGTATATTTAGAAAACCCCATCGTCTCAGCCCAAAATCTCCTTAAGCTGATAAGCAACTTCAGCAAAGTTTCAGGATACAAAATCAATGTGTAAAAATCACAAGCATTCCTATACAATGATAATAGAGAACCAAATCATGAGAGAACTCCCATTAACAATTGCTACAAAGAGAATTAAATACCTAGGAATACAACTTACAAGGGATGTGAAGAACATCTTCAAGGAGAACTACAAAGCACTGCTCAAGGAAATAAGAGAACACAAACAAGTGGAAAAAATTCCATGCTCAAAAAATTTCACGCTCCATATGAAAATGACCATATTGCCCAAAGTATAGATTCACTGCTATTCTCATCAAGCTACCATTTACTTTCTTCAAAGAATTAGAAAAAACTACTTTAAATTTCATATGGACCCAAAAAGCCCATACAACCAAGACAATACAAAGCAAAAAGAACAAAGCTGGAAGCATTAGGCTACCTGACTTTGAACTATACAAGAATACAGTAACCAAAACAGCATGGTACTGGTACCAAAACAGAGATGTAGACCAATCGAACAGAACAGAGGCCTCAGATATAACACCACATATCTATAACCATCTGATCTTTGATAAATCTGACAAAAGCAATGGGAAAAGGATTCCCTATTTTATAAATGGTGTTGGGAAAACTGGCTGGCCATATACAGAAAACCAAAACTGTACCCCTTCCTTACATCTTATACAAAAACTAACTCCAGATGGATTAAAGATTTAAATGTAAGACCTAAAACCATAAAAACCCTAGAAGAAAACCTAGGCAATACCATTCAGGACATAGGCATGGGCAAAGACTTCATGACTAAAACACCAAAAGCAATGGCAACAGAAGCCAAAACTGACAAATAGGATCTAATTAAATTAAAGAGCTTCTGCACAGCAAAAGAAACTATCATCGGAATGAACAGGCAACCTATAGAATGGGAGAAAATTTTTGCAATGTATTTATCTAACAAAGGGCTAATATCCAGAATCTAAAAGGAACTTAAACTAATTTACAAGAAAAAACCAACCCCATCCAAAAGTGGGCAAAAGATATGAACAGACACTCCTCTAAAGAAGACATTTATGTGGCCAAAAAACATGAAAAAAAGCTAATTATCATTGGTCATTAGAGAAATGTAAATCAAAACCACTATGAGATACCATCCCAGGCCAGTTAGAATGGTGATCATTAAAAAGTCAAGAAACAACAGATGCTGGAGAGGATATGGAGAAACAGGAATGCTTTACATTGTTTGGTGAGAATGTAAATTAGTTCAACCATTTTGGAAGACTGGTGATTCCTGACCAGAAATACCATTTGACCCAGCAATCCCATTGCTGGGTATATACCTAAAGGATTACAAATCATTCTATAAAGAAAGACACACACACACACACACACACACACACACACACACACACACACGTGTATGTTTACTGCAGCACTATTCACAATAGCAAAGACTTGGAACCAACCCAAATGCCCATCAATGTTAGACTGGATGAAGAAAATGTGGCACATATATACCATGGAATACTAGGCAGCTATAAAAAAAAAAGAAGTATGGGTTAATGTGCTTTGCAGGGACATGGATGAAGCTGGAAATCGTCATTCTCAGCAAACACAGGAACAGAAAACCAAATACCACATGTTCTCACCCATAACAATGGGGAAATATGGACACACGGAGGGAAACATCACACAACAGGGCCTGTCAGGGGGTGAGGGGTAAGGGGAAGGATAGCATTAGAAGTATCTAATGTAGATGACAGGTTGACAGGTGTAGCAAACCACCATGGGACATGTATACCTATGTAACAAACCTGCATGTTCTACACATGTATCCCAGAACTTAAAGTGCACATATATATATATAAAGCAGTTGTTTAATGAAGATTATCAGTAGTTAGTTAACATAGACTTTTTGAGGATGATTACTAACTTTCAGGACCACAGGCTACTAGGTGATGCACTCAAATGACTACTTAATGCAATTAAGTAGGTTGAAAGATGAATTCCTGGAGTCCATGCTGATGTAGGCCAGTTCACCATTCACAAAATATACCCAGTTGTTCCCAAAGCAACTCAGTGATAGTACAAGAATCTAAGTATAAATTCAGTGTTAAATAGAAAAATGACTCAAGCCAGTGAAACATATTTTTGTGTACGATTAATAACATTTATACTCGGCTTGGTTATTGGCCTAAATTTTGTAATTCTTACTGAAAAGAAACTGTATTAGTCTGTTTTGTGTTGCAGTGAAGGAATACCTGAGACTGGTTACCTTATAAAGAAAAAATGTTTAACTCACAGTTCTGCAGGCTGTATAAACATAACACAGCATGCGCTCAGCTTCTGGTGAGGTCTCAGGGAGCTTTTACTCATGGCAGAAGGCACAGGGAGAGCAGGCATGTCACACAATGAGAGAGAGGAGGTGGTGGGGCCAGAATTCTTTTAATAACGAGCTCTTGCAGGAATGAACGCAGCAAGAACTCACTCATTACCACTGGGGAAGGCAGCAAGCCATTTATGGAGGATTGGACCCTATGACCCAAACACTTCCCACTAGGCCCCACATCCAATTTTGGGGATCACATTTCAACATGAGATTTGGAGGGACAAACATCCAAACCATATTACAAACTTCTTCACTAGAAGAATTTGGGTATATGTAAGTTTTCAGTGTATGTGTAAAGTAGAATATTACCAGAAAGGTTATTTACTTTTCATCTTCATTATCAATTTTCTATAAGTATAAAAAATTAAAATGCATTTTGTTAATCTTTGTATTATTTCTTAAAAGTCAGAGTGGAATAAATGTACCTAATTTAAGACATTTATCTGGTTTTGTTGGCAGATTTAAGAACTAAGGCTACACTAAATATTACACAAAAATTCCATTAAAATGACTTAAAATGATACCCTTTTATGAAAAATTTACTGTACTAAAATCTTTGAAATGTGTGTCGCATAGGAAAAAACGTATTTTTTTGATAACTGTACTTCTAAGAAAATTCCCACTTTGAGCACTGTCAAAACAAAAAGCAAATTTAAAGAAAATTTCGACAATATAAAAAGTT